TCATCATTGTTACATCGCACCCTGACTGGCTCATCTCCTCCCCGAGACCCCTCTGCCAGGGGATCTCCAGTGGCCAAGTCAATAATTTTTAAATGTATAATTCAGTGACAACGATTACATTCTTCAGGTTGTGCAACACTACTGACCCTCTTTTCTGAATGGCTCCTCCTCCATTAGCATAATCTCACTGTCCCCTATCTAACCTTTCAGTTTGCTGCCGTCAGTTTCATCCCACAAAATTCTTTAAAGGAATATAATGTTCAAGACGGACATATTTGTACCGATTAATCCAAACTCTTCTTTAGTTTAAAGAAGGCTTTCTTGGGATATTTTCGGTTTAAGTTTTACATCTGAGCTTAGGGCAATAGTTTCAGAGGTTCATTTAGTCCTGTGAACTCCAGAAAAATCTGTAGTCCATGAAAATGTGTAACTCTCCTCTCTATCTCCCCCACCCCTTTTTGATCAGGATTCTTCTTAGAACTCCTTGATCCAAATAATGTTCGGTAAGGCTACCCCAATGGTGAGGTCCAAAGGAGCTGGCTGTTTTGAGGTCCACTGTGTGAGGCGCCCATTTCTGCGCAGTTGCTTTCCTTACCAGACCCTTGGTGACACAGATGATGAACTGCTCAACTACTCGCCAAGAGTTTGGTGTTTGGAACACCCAAGAAACACGCTAGAAGACAAGTTGATTGGCCCTGAAAACTCTTTGGAGCCATGCTACTCTGCACGCATGGGAATTCAACAACAACTAACAACAAAAGAACACACTTCATGGTTCGTTTTGGTTTTTTCATCTTTTCAAATCCCTTTAAACAAAACAGTGTATTTTTTAAAATCCATCCAAAGAATGGCTCCACTTACATAAGAAATCATTCCATTTGTGAAATAAAAAGAAGCTGTTTTCTAGAGTAGGAATAGCAGTTGAATGGGTCCGAAATGGGTCCGAAAACTCTAAATCTTACTACTTTGTGACCCTGCACAAATCAAGGCCCTTTGTGGGCTATACATGGTAGATATGGATTCAGTCAGCTCCAATTGATCCATCTAATAATCCATGACTTTTCGGTTCCCTGAAAACATGACAGATTATTTTGTAAATAGAATTTTAGCTAGTTTTCCAAAATGGCCAGATTAGCCCTGAATGGTCTCAGTTTGGGGAATTCTTTCTCTCTAATGTCATGATTACTGAGTAACAACCCAAATAGTTATTGATAAATGCATTCATACCTCACAGGTATACCAAGAGATCCCTCCCACTTACTGTACATAAAGAACACTTCTTGTAAGATGCCTACGAATTTCAATTATGAGTTTTCTGCTTGGAGCAAATTACTCTTTCAGTCACAGTAAAAGAAGACATACATTTTCCACTGATAACTATCTTTAACTATCCAAACAAAAATTTCAATGGAAATAACCACTCAAAACACCCTTCATTTAAGTGTGGATGTTAAAAAGCACATACACGCATGCACAAGCCCCCCCCATCTTAAACAATAACTGGAATGATTATTCTTAAAAGCAACTGGAAATAAATGAATGGGGAAAAAAAGAAACTGGATGGTATTTTCTGCCAATGTTTTTCGTAACCTGTCCCCAGTTTGTGGAACAAGAAAGAAATAGGGATGGCAAAAAGAAACTAAGGTTACTTGTGACTCTAAAGTCATGCCAAGGAGCACTGGGGGCACAGTGGTTAAAGTGCAGTGCTAGCCAAAAGGGTGGTGGTGCAAACCTCCCGGTCATTATGCAGGAGGCAAACATGGCAGTCCACTTCATAGAAGATTTACGTCTTAGAAACCCAGTGGAGCAGTTCTATTCTGTCCTACAAGGTCAATGTTAGTCAGATTCAACTTGCCAGGCGTGAGCTTGTTGTTGGAAGAACATGCAACCGTACCTGATTTTTAAAATAGCTTTATGGACATGAATATATTTCCCATCAATTTGAAATTTCAGATCAGCAGTTTCTGGACTATCAAATGCTTGCTTCAGTGACTCTGTAACAGTTAAGAAGTCTTCGTGCTCTGCAGACAACAAACACTATTAACAGAGAACACCGAAAACACAAATGTAAAACTTAAAGGATTAAAAAAAAGAAACTATTACTAGCATGGTGGGTAAATCTATTCTGTTTTATAAGAGAGTTTATGTTTTGATCAGTACATTTCAAAACATTAATATTATAGGTCACCTACATTTATAAACAGAGCTGTTTTGATCAATAAATTTCAAAATATTAATCTTATAGGTCACCTACATTTATAAACTACCAAAAATTACAATGCCAATATTTAGAAAGGCTAGATATCTTTATACTAAGTTGGACATCGAGATATTTATTTTAAGAAATAAAGTAAAAGTGATAGGTAGTCTATAATGATTTGACTACTCTCTTAAAATGTGGAGACACACTAGTGGCACAGCAGGTTAGGTACTGAGCTGCTAACCTCAAGGTGGTAGGTTCAAACACCCCAGCTGCTCATGGGAGAAAAATGAGCTGTCTGCTGGCACAGAGATTTATAGTTTCAAAAAGCCTATATGGGGTCAGTATCAGTTGAAATTGATCAAACATGCAATCAAGATGCACTGATAATATAAAATAATAATAATTTATAAATTATCAAGGGTTGGGGGGGGGGGGGGGGAAGCAGGGAGGGAGGGGGAAAAATGAGGAGCTGACACCAAGGGCTCAAGTAGAAAGTAGGTGTTGTGAGAATGATGATGTCAACATATGTACTAATGTGCTGGACACGAATGATGTATGTATGGATTGTGAAGAGTTGTATGAGCCCCTAATAAAATTATGTTTTTAAAAAAAAGATGCACTGATAATTATTAGGAATTGGAATGCAAAAATTGAAAACAAGGTGTGTTAAACTGGCTTGACTAGAGAAACAAATCCAATGACATTAATATATGTGTAAGAAAGCTTTATATTAAGAAGTAATTATATATTGAGAAAACATCCCACCCCAGTCCAACTCAAGTCCAAAAGTCTGATTCTAGTCCATGAGTCCCTCTTGAGACCCACGCAAGCACATGCAATGATGCAGAAGGCAGGAATATCACAGGCCATTGGGTATGGGTGCAAAGTCTTATGGCTCCAATGGTGGTGGACACATTTCCACAGCTCTTTCCACTATCAGGGTCAGCCAGCAGGAAGGTGAAGGTAGAGAAATAGAGGTTCCCAGGACCTTCCTTATGAGAAGGCCACACCCACAAGGAGGCATCATCAGGTGGTGACCTGATTGACAGGTTAAATTCCACTCCTATACTTTTATGTAGCTTCAAGTGACATGAAATTATGTAACTACCACAAAGAAGAAGGTACAGTAGTTGAAAATATGGACGCGGTGATAGAAATGAAGTCGGAGAACAACTTGTTCATAGCAAATATTTTTTTCCAACAACACAAAAGCTACTGTCCACATGGACTTCTCCAGATGGAATCCACAAAAATCAAATCGACTATATCTTCGGGAAGAGACGATGGAGGACCACAATATCAGCAGCTAAAACCAGGCCAGGGGAAGACTGTGGAACAGATCATCATCTGCTCAGATGGAAGTTCAGGTTAAAGCTGAAGAGAAGGAAAACAAGTCCATGAGTGCTAAAAGATGACCTTGAGCCTCTCCCACCTGGATTTTGAGAATACCTCAAGAACAGATTTGACGCACGGAACACTAATGACAGAAGACTGATGAGCTGTGGGATGACATCAAGAACATCATTTAGGGCAAAGCAAAAAGTCATTGAAGAGGCAGGAAAGAAAGGCTCAAAGGTTCAAAAGAACCTTGTTCTTATGAGAGAGCAGCTAAGGCACATGGGAGAAATAATGAAGCCAAAGAGCCAAAGAGAAAATTCCAAAGGGAAGCTTGAGAAGACAACGTAAAATCTTATAATTAAGTGTGCAAGAGACTAGAGTTAGAAAACCAAAGAGGAAGGACATGCCCAGCATATCTGGAACAACTCAAGAAAAAACCCAAGTCTTGAGTTGCAATCTTGAAAGATTCTATGGGCAAAATATTGAATGATGCAGGAAGCGTCAAAAGAAGACAGAAGATATACACAGAGTCACTGCACCAAAAAGAACGAGTCAACATTCCACCATTGTAGGATGTAGCATAAGAGCAAGAACCGGTGGCACTGAAGGAAGAAGGTCAAGCTGCTTTGAAAACATTAGCCAAAAGCAAGGATCCAGGAATTGAAGGAATGCCAAATGAAATGTTTCAACAAGCTGATGAAGCACTTGGAGCACTTGTCTATGTCAGGAAATTTGGAAGACAGCCACTTGGCCAACTGACTGATAGAGATCCATATTTGTATCCACTCCCCCTAAAGGTGACCAAACAGCATGCTCAAACTACACAACAATACGTCAAATTTTGCTGAAACTCATCCAACCATGGTTACAGCAGTACACTGAGAGTTGCCAGGGGTTCCGGCTGGATTCAGAAGAGGACGTGGAACAAGGGATCTCATTGCTGAGGTCAGATGGCTCAAAGCAGAGAAGACCAGAAAGATTTTTACTTGTGTTTTATTGACTATGCCAAGACATTCAGCTGTGTGGATCATAATAAACTATTGATAACTTGGACAAGAATGGGAATTCCAGAACTTGATTGTGCTCGTGTGGAACTTATACATGGATCAAGAGGTAGTTGTGTGAACCGAACAAGGGAATACTGCACGATCTGAATGCTAAGCAAATCATAAAAGAAGGTGACTTATATGTAGAAGAATATGTCATCAGGATCGGAGGAAGGCTTATTAACAACCTGCAATATGCAGATGACACAACCTTGCTTACTCAAAGAGAGGAGGACCCGAAGCACCTGCCGATGATGATCAAGGATTTCAGCCTTCATTATGGATTACAACTCAAGGTAAAGAACACTGAAATCCTCACAACTGGACCTCTAGGTAACATGCTGATATTTGGAGAAAAAGTTAAAGTTGTCAAGGATTTTGTCTTGCTTGGATCCACAATCGGTACACGTGGAAGCAGTAATCAAGAGATTAAAAGACGCATCGCCTTAAGTTAATCTGCTACCCAAGACCTCTATAGAGTATTGCCAAGCAAGGATGTTACTTTGAGGACTAACGTGTGTCTGACCCAAGCCACGGTATTTTCCATGGCCTCAGATGCATGTGAAAGTTAGACATTGAAGAAGGAAGACTCTATGGGGTTGGTAAAGAATATTGAAAGTACAACGGACTGCTAAAAAGACAAACAAACCAATCTGTTCCAGAAGATGTAGGGTCCGGAGGCTCCTTAGAGGCAAGGATAGCAAGATTTCATCATATCTACTTTGAGCATGCTGTCAAGAGAGACGGGTCTCTGGAAAAGGATATCATGCTTGGGAGGCTCCTGACAAGGTGGACTGACGCAACCATGGGCTCAGGCAGGGGAACAGTTGTGAGCATGGCACAGGACTGGGTAGTGTATCCTGTCTTGCCGAGGGTTGCTGTGGATGGGAACCAATCAATAGCTCCTATCAACAACAACATGAGTTGGAATGAATTGGGTTTTTAAAAAACATTTTGTTGTGGTTTGGGCGAAAGTTTCCAGAGCAAATTAGTCTTCCATTTTATACATATTTTGTCTAGTGACATTCGTTATAACCCCCTCATTGTAATAGCACGGCCCCCATTTCTTCCCTGTATTTCCTGTCTCCGTTCACCTCTCAATCCTGCCTTTCTCTGCCTTCTGAGCTTTATTTTGGGGGCAGTTGCTGCTTTTTGGTTTTGCATGGTTGATTGTTCTGAGTAGCACATTTCTCACGGCCTCTACTGTTTACTTTATAGGTCTGTCTATTGTTTGGTTAAATGACAATCTCCAGGAGTGGGTTATCTGAAAGGTGCTTAAGGGTCTAGGGCATTCCACCATATGGACCCTTAAGACAATATTCACAAAAAGGGCAGATCACCCTGAATTTTGCCACTTTTATAATATTTCTTTTTTGATGCCCTTCTAAAACAAAAGTACTTAAGATTGGTTGAAAGAGAGAAAGAAAGCCATTAATGAGTCATCTTAAAAGTCACACTTTTTAAAAGTTTATTTTTAGTAGTATTATATAGAACTATGCAAAAAACTGAGTTACATAAAGGCTAAAGCATTAGGAAGAGGGAAAACTAAGTCCATTAACATAGTTCATAATATATTAATAAAATCTATTACGCAAATTTAATTTGGGGACATGCATTACCATTGAGAATAAAACATTCTAGAACTTTAGAGTCGCTATCAACAAAAAACAAGGAAAACTTGACAGCCTTATTATCTCTCGGTGGAAGATTCCTTACCAACAGATAGAAGGCGCCATGAGACAGCAGGGGTGGCAAAACAGGCAAAGACGTCGTCCGTGCAGGAGAAGTGGGTGAGGTGAGGCAGAGTGACCGACTGGCCACGACACTGGCCCCACATGTACACATGCCCACTCTGCGTCTTGGCAGCAGAGGTGTGGGCAGAGTGACAGGCTGCAATCTCTACGACCCTGTAGTTTTACGAAAAAAAGAAACACATGTCACTTATTAACCAAAACAATCCTACAGCATACCGTACAATATAATAAAAAAGTTCATGCTTAAAACACCTCAGAAACCCCACGAGTCCCAGCGACATTAGCTACCAAGTGATGGTGACAAAGCCAAAAAGACCCGGGAAAGAAGACCTTCCATATTGCTCATTTCTTGTTCTAGAGTGTCTTTCTGGGTTCGGATGTGTAACACGTGTTGTTGAGGAAAACTTGAAAAAGGGGAGCAGAAACCCAAGGAACTGAGGAAAGTAGGCACGAGCGAAATCTCTTGACAGTTCTGGGAGCTTGCTGTTATCCACCATTCAATGTTGGGCCCCCCAACTCCTGGCAACCCCATGCAAAACAGGATCGATTATTGTGACCAAGATGGTTTCCACTGGCTAATTTGTCAGAAGTAGATCACTTGCACAAAATGCATCCAATAACTGTCATTCAACCCAACTTCCCTCATCCCTTCCCAGAGCTCAGGAGAATTCACAGAGATGATAAAACGTTGGTTCAGGGGGTCATGGACTTTTCAGTATTCCCTTCCTAAGAGACATCAAGTCTGTTGTGCTGAAGTGTGCTTCTTCTTTGTTTGTTGGTTTGTGACTGGCATTTTCTTGGTTATTTTGAGACAGTGCAGGAACATTACAAACAATTTGCACACAATTCTTAATGAATATACCAAAATCCTAACATGGCTTGTAGATATAATTTGTTCCTAAATTCCACTGACTTTCCAGCTTTAAATTTGGAGATAAACGTTCACAAGAGATCATCAAATAACTCTTTTTCAAATGTCGGTGAGTTGTTACGTCGGAAGCCACATTGATTCATAATCTGATGCCACACACACACCACATGCTCAAATGTTCAGCCCTTCACAGCATGTAGCAAAGTGATCAGGAAAACTGGACTACCACAACCAAAGAAGTCACAGAATTCACCCAGTTCCGACATAAAGCCACGATGACATAATGGTTTTCAGACACAATTCTGTTAAAAAAAAACAACAACCCACGGAAACAAACTTCTAAATGTTCACGTCATACAAATGCATGACTGTGACCCCAAATTGCCGGTACGTGTGTTTCGTATTAGGGATTCAAAGACAGTCCAATCTTCCCACAATTCAACAGCTTCAACATCCCACTATTTTCCGCTCCTACCAAAAAATAAACAACCAGTAAATGATTTCACGTCTTAAAAAAAAAAAAAAAGGCACTTACACTTAAAAAAGGGGGTGGAGGAATGAAGTGGCATTTCCTCCTTCTTAAAAATGCTCCTAGAGCTACTAAAAAACTTGTGTTTACAAAATAGTTGATAAAAATATTACTTCGGATCAGTGGTTCTCGACCTTCCTAATACAGTTCCTCATGTGGTGACCCCAACCATAAAATTATTTTCATTGCTAATTCATCACTGTAATTTTGCAAGTTATGAATCATAATGTAAATATCTGATATACAGGATGTGTTTTCATTGTTACAAACGGAACATAATTAAAGCATAGTGATTACCATATATACTCGAGTATAAGCCAACTCGAGTATAAGCCAAGCCTAGGTACCCAATTTTTACCACAAAAAGTGCATTAAAAATGTGCTGAAAATTGTGAATGAGAGGGAGTGCAGAGTGGGGATCCAGGACCCATCTGTGGACAATTGGACATCCTCTTACAGAAGGGTTGTGGGGAGGAAATAAGCCAGTCAGGGTGCAGTATAGCAAAGATGAAACATACAACTTTTCCTCTAGTTCTTGAATGCTTCCTCCCCCCAACTATCTTGATGCCAATTCTACCTTACAAATCTGGCTGGACCGGAGGATGTGCACTGGTACATATCGGAACTGGAAACACAGGGAATCCAGGACAGATGATCCCTTCAGGACCAGTGGTGAGAGTGGCGATACCAGGAGGGTGGAGGGAAGGTGGGGTAGAAAGGGGGAACAGATTACAAGGATCTACATATAACCTCCTCCCTGGGGGACGGACAGCGGAGAAGTGGGTGAAGGGAGACGTCAGGTAGTGTAAGATATGACAAAATAATGATAATTTATAAATTATCAAGGGTTCATGGGGGAGGGAGGGGATAAAGATGAGGAGCGAATACCAGGCGCTCAAGTAGAAGGCAAATGTTTTGAGAATGATGAGGGAAACAAATGTACAAATGTGCTTTGACACAATGGATGCATGTGTGGATTGTGATGAGTTGTACAAGCCCCCAATAAAATGATTTAAATTTATTTAAAATGATAAATAAATAATAAATTTAATAAAATGTGCTGAAAAATGGCTTATACACAAGTATATGCGGTGATCACAAAAACAGAACAATATGTAATTATATATTGTGAAATATTTATTTCAAATGACAAATAAATGAAATTTTGTCTTGCAACATGGTGTGGCGTGGGTAACAGTCTTCACGCCGGGTCCTTGTAGGTGGGTGTATCTGCATGTGGACGGACCTGCCTCGAGACAGATAGATGGTGGCACTAGATGGTGGCTAGATGGTGGAGCGGTGTCTCGGTTCCTAAAACCATCCGAAATATGTGTTTTCCGATGGTCTTAGGCGACCCCTGTGAAAGGGTTGTTCAGCCCCCAAAGGGGTCGTGACCCACAGGTTAAGAACCACTGCTTTGGATTATCTAAGAAGGGAGGTTTAAAAAAAAAGTAAGAAGAAGGGAGGTAACAAGGCCCACTGATCAGACACGGGCGGTACATTCATCAGACTTGACTTTGTTTCTCCTGCTTGATCAGAGGCTGGGCTCTCTTTGCCTTTCCTTTCTCCATTTTCGGCAGGTACATCTTTGGTTTCTTGTTAGCTTCTTCAGCCTGTTTTCCCTTTGCTCCCCTTTTCCTGTTTTTGTCTGAAGATTTATCCTTTCCTGCTGCATTTTTGCTTCGTCTCTACTTGTATAGGCGCAGGTTTCCCTGACAACGTTGCAGATCTCCTCTTAGGCTCCTCCTTCGCCCCTTTGGCCGGGCATCTTGGCTGTGTGGAGGGCACTTGCTGGATGGGACCTGCTACGACTGGCCAGAAAAAGGGGGTAGGAGGTGGGGGGCAGGATGGAACCGGATTGGGAGCCCACCCCATTCTCCCCTATGAAGTGTACTTCTTCAGCAAAGTCCTGGATTCAGAAGTCAACACTCTAAGACTTACTGGGTAAGGCCTCTTGATTTGATTGACCAATGTTGAACGTCGCTTCCAGTAACAACACACATGAAATCAAATCAACATTTAAACAGGCTATGTTCTTTCAAGCGTGTATTTTATTTATTTTAAAGAAGCTTTCGTTGTTACAATCGAAGAATTGTACTCCACTTAGAATTTCAAACTGATGTGGACCTTCTTTTACTGCCCTCCCAAATGGGCAAGAAATTTGCAAGAAGGATGCCAAGATACATTAATGCTTTCCATCCACGGCTGCTGCTTTGAGCAAGGTACATAAGAATCATATCCAACGACATGTTCATTTTGGCTAGTACTTGAAGTCTTTTGTTGAAAGCAAGAATGTGTCCATAGAAGCATTGCAGAGCCAAACACCCTAGCTCTCACAGATGTGACGGTCCCATGGCATGTCACGGCGCAGTTACCTTTCTTTCTCCACCATGATGTGGGCGGGGCTTAGCAGGTTATTCTTATTGCCAGTTCCCAGCTGCCCATAGGTGTTAGCTCCCCAGGCATAGAGTAAGCCCTCATCTGTGAGTGCTAGAGTGTGTGCATAGCCGCAGACGATCTGCAAGTAAATTTACATGGTTACCATCGACAGGAAAAGAGAAAGGGCGAGAAATCATGCTACTTCTCCAAAATGTCATTTCATCACCAGGTATGGACAGACATTCTCTGGGACTTTACATAAGCGCTTGAAAAGCCTGAACCTTAGCACTGTTGGGCTTTTCCATTCGTTTAATGTCCTTGTCAAGACTGTTGTGCCAGCAGCATGGTCTCCTTTCTAATCAGGGGGACTCAGAGAAGACATCGATTAAAGGTGGAAGGCAAAAGGACAGGGTGGGGCCCCGAAAGGTTTATTGAGGAGCAAACCGAAACCTCACTGCCATCGAGTCGTTGCTGACTCAGAGTGACCCTAGACAGCAGAGTGGAATTTTCCCTGTGGGTTTCCAAAGTTGTAACTGTTAACGGGGGCACAAAGCCCCATTTTTCTCCTGAGGAGCAGCTTGTGGTTTGAAACTGTTGTCCTCGTGGATCGCAGCCGAACATGGAACCACTACCAGGCGTCCTCAAACTACGGCCCGTGGGCCACATGTGGCCCGCCGAGGACATGTATCTGGCCCGCCGGGTGCTTGTGCCCCGTTTGGTTTTTTGCTTCAAAATAAGCTATGTGCAGTGTGCATAGGAATTTGTTCATAGTTGTTGTTGTTTTTTACTATAGTCCGGCCCTCCAACGGGTCTGAGGGACAGTGAACTGGCCCCCTGTTTACAAAGTTTGAGGACCCCTGCACTACACCATCAGGGCTCCACAACTGAAGAGTAAGTCTCCAATGGCTCTCTAGTTTGAGTCACAGCAGTCAGACCGGTGGGGCCCACTAACCCCGAGTTGGCCACACTTACCTGGTTCACACACACACTGTGTAAAGCTGCCACTCTCACCGGGGTCAGCTGATTGCCATTGTTTCCCAGGCCCAGCTGACCATTGCCATTGTAACCCCATCCATATACCTGAGAGAGGAGAGGAGATGTTAATAAGAGGCAAGTGGTACATGCAAGCCACCTTATCAAATCAGATACCTTCCCTACCACTGCCATTCCACATCTATCCTTGTAATGACAGACTTTGGCATCAGTTCCTGCTCCCTAACTTACTAGTTGGATGGTTTGGGGCAAGTCACTCATTTCCATTTTATAAACAAGGAAGCTGATTCTCATTAGTACTTACAGTGCATGTTAGGGTACTGCAAAAATGTACTAGAAAGGAAAGTCTCGAGCCACAGTTTAAGTGCCCTGCTGGCACTGCAGGTTACACATTGGACTTCTAACCTCAAGGTCAGCAATTCGAAACTACTAGCTGCTCCGGGAGAGAAAGACGAGGCTTTCTACTCCCATCAATAGTTAGTTAGAACCCCACAGGGCTGTTCTACCTTGTCCTACAGGGTTGCGACAATCCATGCCGATGAGTGAGCCACAGCTTCACTGTGGATAGGAGACACATACAAGCGTTTTTCAGGCAGATGGTAAGTACTAACCCAGAGATACCCTGAAGACGGAGCAGAGAGGAGAGTAAGGAAGTTGAGTAGGAAGTTTAAGGAAAATGCTCCTGAAACTCCCACTGCTGTGTGTTAACCATGGGATTGCTAACCACACAGTTAGCAATTCAAAACCAACAGCCAACCCACGGGAGAAGGCTGAGGCTCTCTGCTCCAACAAAGATGTGTACTCTTGGACTTGACTCAAGAGTGGTGGGTTCGGGCTCTTTGGTTTTTCCAGAAAGTGGATTCTTGAATAAGGCTGTCAGCTTGTCTACTCCGGTGGCATATAGGTTGCTGTGATGCTTGAAGCTGGGTTGCTGGTGTTTCACATCTCAGCGAGGTCATTCCAGGGGAGCAGGTTTCAGTAGAGCTTGCAGACTCAGAACAACTGTAAAGAAGTAACAGGCTGCGTAGTTCTGAGGAATTAACCACTGAAAACCTTATGCGTTTCAGTGGAACAGGGTCAGATAGACTTCCACAAGGTGGTGCGCAGATTTGAAGGTAATAGAAATAAGACGGAGGCAGAGCTGACTTCTCAAAGGAGAGGCTGCCATAATGACATGGATGGAGAAAAGCTTTCAGGACGTCACCGTTAGATTGAGGTCAACTTGCACTTGTGTGAAGGTGTAGGGCTGGGGTCCAACCCATTCATCAGGTCACAGCTTGATTGGCGCCTCCTTGGGGGTGTGGCCTCTTTATAAAAGAAACCCTGGAACTCCCTTCATCTTGCCCCTTGCCTGCCCCCTCACCTAGACTCTGAGTCTGCCTACATAAGTGGCCCCATGAAGGTCACAGACGTGGAGAGTTGTCAGTGCCCCGCCATGTTTCCACCAACCTCAGATCCACGCGAGTCTGCACCCACTGGCCTGGCATCTCTCTGCTTCCCACTTCACCTTTCTGCAGCATCGACCTTTACTATTTGCCAACCTCTAGTCCAGGGGTCAGCAAACTTTTGAGACAGAAGAACCAATCCTGTCCCTCACAATTTAAAAATTATTTAAAAGCCACAAATATATTTTACAAAATATGTAATCACTGTTACTTGAATAATATTCTTTCAGAGCTACAAGTATACACTAAAAGAACTGCATATGGCTCTCAGCTGCGCTTGCCGATCCCTGCTCTACCCTTGCGCTCGTCTATTATTTCATCTTCCCTTTCCTGCCTCCCCAACCCTTGGTAACTTCCAAAGTCTGCCCACTTTATGCCACGGTATTTTCAACGGCCTCATATACACGTGAAAGTTGGACAACAAATAAGGAAAACAGCGGAAGAATCAAAGCAGTTGAATTACAGTATCGGTGAAGAATCTTGCGAAGTACCATGGACCATCAGAAAACAAACAAATCTGCCTTGGAAGACGTGAAGCCAGAATGCTCCTTAGAAGCCAGGATGGTGACATTTGGTCTACCATACTTCAGACATGTTATCAGGAGAGACGAGCGGCTGGGAAAGGACATCATCTTGGTAAAATATTCTAGGTCTCAGGTCTCTGACTTTGTGATGGTCGCACCAGGGTGCAGCTGCCTTAGCAGTTCCCTGCTTCAGCTGGCAAAGCTCACTTCCTACAACAGAGGAAGCCCCTCCATGAGATGGAATGTCACAGTGGCTGCAACAAGGGGCTCAGACATAACAACTGAGGACAGAAAAGGACCTGGCAGTGTTGGTATTTTGCGTACATAGGGTTGCCATGAAATAGAAATCCCTTGAGGGCACCTAACAACATTAACAACAACAGCAACAAAGGATAAATGAGGGTGAAGACCCTCCAGGCAACAGACAGAGGTTCAGAAGACACATAGGGTGACCAGGCTTGAAAAGCTAGAGTAGTAATGGGAAAGACTAGAAGGAAAATCAGGGACAATGTGTAGGAAACATAACAGGGAACATGGAATGTGTCAGTAGGTTTTTCACTCTTTAAGTATTCTAAAACAGATGAATAAGATTAAATCCGCATTTCTGAAAGATCATGCTAGCCACAAATGAAGGAAGATTGGAGTGTCTGAGAGGCATTTAGACCATCTGGTAAATAATTCATCTTTCTTCACCAAAGAGTCAAGAGAGCTCTTATGAAGGAACGAACTATAGCAGGGCCATGGGACAAGAAGAGGGAAGCAGTCATCTAGGGAGCCATAGCCATAACAGAACATGGTGATCCCTACCCTGTTTCCCCCGAAAAATAAGACAGTGTCTTATATTAATTTTTGCTTCCAAAGATGCCCTAGGTCTTATTTTCAGGGGATGTCTTATTTTTTCCATGAAGACGAATTCGGTACACATTTATGGTCTATTGCTTTATTAAAAGAGACTTCGCACTTCCTGTTTTCTCTGGCTGCGCTGCGGCCAACAGTGAGCTGCTCGGCGGTACCCATTGCTACAGTCCAGAGTCCAAAGTTACAGTAGCTTTGGGGGGGCCTTATTTTCAGGGAGGTCTTATTTTCGGGGGGATGCCGTATATTTCAGCAAGAGGCAAAACTGTCAGTAGGTCTTATTTTCGGGGATGTCTTACTTTCGGGGAAACAGGGTATTACCAGAGTGAGATGGGCATGAGGGGGTCTAAGTAACAGCTCGGCAGAGCTTTGACAGGTGGGCCAAGTATGGGGAATAAGAAAGGTCCTGACACAGAAAGACAAAAGGTCTAATTCAAATCAGAAACCTGGCTTTGTGAAGGCACAAAGCTCCCAGCAGTGCAGGGCAGACCAATTGATATAGGTGGGGGTTTTCATGGCCTTGTCCTAGAAGGGAGAAGGGGACATTCCGTTCAGAGAGGTCGTGGCAGATGGCTGCACACACTTCCTCAATATCAGCAGTGTAACGGCTATCAACTATCTGAAGAGAAATTTGGTTAAAATTTATAAACTATGTAATGGCATGTCTCTTAACTTTTAAATTCCATTTCAGAGAATTCCATCTAAAGAAATATCTGTTGGCTATTCAAAGATGCATATGCATAAACACTCATACTGATACCAGTGCAATATCATTTATTAAGAACAAAAAATGGAGCCAACTGAAAATGTCCACCAGTAGATCTGGATGTGGGTCATCCAAACAAGGAATGTTAAGCAGGTATTATAATGAAAACAGATATAAATAGTCTGATATAGACCCAAAAAAGCAACCTCACAGCCATTGAGTAGATGCTGTCTCACAGGGACCCTATAAACAGGGTAGACCTGCCCCATGAGTTTCCGAGACTTTAACTATTTACAATAGTAGTGAGGTGGTTGGTTAGTTTATTGTGCTAACTGGCCAATAAACACATGTGGGGTTAATTGAAGGGCGGAGGGATAAATGGCTCAGTAAACCTCGCCTTTCTAGTTCTCGGGTCTCTTGCTTTGTGATGGTCGCACCAGGGTGCAGCTGCCTTAGCCAGTTCCCTGCTTCAGCTGGCAAAGCTCACTTCCTGCAAGACATCTCCAAGGAGAAGCCACATGGACCTACCTCGATGCAGCCCTGGGTGCTGGAGCAGCCGTGTGGAGACCCCTGCCAGCACTGAGATGCTTACACATTCACTGACTCGGTTTTCCTCTTGCAGTCAGCATCATTGCGTCTGTTTTGTGAGATGGAGGAGGACTTTGTGGATTGGTGTTGGACATATGGGTTAATGGGTTAATGTTGGACTTGTGGGCTTGGGCAGCGCTGGGCTGCGATGTTTTCTTGATGCTCACGTAACCTTTATATAAAACTCTCTCTTATCCATGAGTTTCTGTGGATTTGTTTCTCTACTTACCCAGACTAACACAAGTAGATAGCCCCATCTTTCTCCCACAGAGAGGCTGGTGGTTTGGAACTGCAGTTTTGGGATCACAGCCCAACTTGTAACCACTATATCATCAGGGCTCCTTAGTCTGATATAGATTCCAGTAAAACTTACTAAGTGCTGGGGGAGGAGGGGAAGAGTTTGCAGAATAGCCAAGTAAGCAATAGGTAGAATAGTCTTTTGTTTTGTTTTTTTAAGGTAAGAGGGGAGGTAAAAAAGTATTGCTACTAGAGTAGCAATCCATACAGGTGTTGTTATATGCTGTGGAGTCAATCTTGACCGATAGTTACTGTACATATAAGAGTGAAACCCCGACTGCTCCTGGGCATCCTCGGAATCGTTCTGGGTGAGCCCATTGTTGCAACCACTGTGTCAATCCGTCTCCTGAAGGGTGTTCCTCTTTTACAATGACCCCCAGCTTTGCCGAGCATGATGCCCTTTTCCAGGGACTAGTCTCTCCTGATAACATGTCCAAAGTACAGAAGACAGAGTTTGGCCATCCTCAATACTAAGGACCATTCCGGTTGTACTCCTTCCAAGACAGATCCGTTTGTTCTTTTGGCTGTCCACAGTACTTTCAATAGTTTTTCAGCAACATCCCAATTTAATTGTTTTCAATTCTTCTGTGGCCTTTCTTATTCACTGTACAACTTTGACATGCATAGACTCTCAAACCTGTTTGGCCTACTAACACCTTTTTCAGAAACAAA